CGAAAATTATCCCTGATCTAGGTCATTTAAATGTTGGATGACTAATGACCACTTGAGATTAGTGTGTAGTATGATTTATAGCACCGTTTCTTGTGCTACAAGGACATGATTGTCATAAATCATTTGCACAGGTATTTTTTTGAAACTATACCGGATCAACCTATGAGAATACTTTAAGAGATTAAAAATCGTTATAAGTATATTTCTCATTATAGCTATCGGAACCTCTTTCCTCGACCATGAGTATTGTAAGTTCTCTTGTTTGAATACTAGTCCGTTTTGATGTTGTCAAACGTCTGCCGTACATGGGGATTATAACGGCAACACTCGGGCGACTAGGTCCTCTTAGTAAGGGAAGCTAACAATGCAAGACTGGGAATGTCCCCCTATTAACAATAGGGAACATGTGTTTGTTGTTTACAAGGCCTCTCAAAGAACGAGACTTTGAAAATGCATGGTCGTGCTCAGATAGATTTTAGAAATCATCTACTTATTGACAGTTGAACTCGGAAATCGAGAAACACTTCTGGACGTAATAAGGATGACGAAGAATCTTACGTTATAGTTCATGATGAGACATTAAGTGACACACGAAATAGGCTATACACTAATAGTGCACTTGTCCGGAAGGACAAGTGGGAGATTGAAAGGAATGGTGTCCTTCGAACAAGTGTATTATTCCGATAGAGGATTCGGAATTATTAAAAAGCTAATTATTCAGTGAGGTTAAGTGATCGAATTGCCTACCTGGAGGCCGCTTCCGATCAGTAACATTAATGCATAATTAATATTATAGCTTAATCTTGACTGAACCCTTCGGGTCACACCCAATCAAGTAACCAAACCAAAACAACGAATTAATCGAAGGATTAAATGAGTCATTAGAGTATTACGAACATAGACGTCAGATTCCGAGCTTAGAGTGTCGAAAACCGAGCGTCGTAAGTCGAGTCGAATTTAGGAATCGACGAGACAAGAAATCAAGCAAACAACAAGTACAAATATAGCCCTAGCCTCGGAATGCCCCGAGAAATCCGAGTGGTAGAGCAATATAGCTAGACAAGGTCACTACCGCAAGGCAAGGCTTGACCGCAAGCTCAACATGCCTAGCATGGCCGAGCATGCCTTACGCGTATCGCAAGTGTAACACCCTAAAAATTCATTTCCTTTAAAATACCTGTTTTTCCCTTTTTGAAATACGAAATAGGAAAATCTAAGACATTACCGCCACCGTGAAAACGGCTAAGGCAAATATCAAAGACACACAGCGGAAGACTTTCTTTAAAACCATTCAAAACAAGTCAACTTAAAAGTCAAACCAAACGAAAGTAAAGTCAAACAAAGTCAAACAAGGTCAACCTACAACTTGGAACCATTGTAGGTCCTTAAAACCAAACAACACTGAAAACCTTTACGTTAGTCTCATGAACATAATAAAATAAATAATATTCAAAGCAAATAAAACACATCATATTCCTATGGAAACTAAGCATGATTCGCTCTTCACTCATGCCCATCATGAAAATGATTCATCACCTGAAAAAACTTCTCTCTACTTGTCCCCACTACTCGCCATTAGAAATGGGTCGTCGTAGGGCCAAGGTAAAGACAAGGCAAAACAAACATACAAGATATAATCAGCAATGCTGAGTACATAAGCGTAATAAAACACACTATCATGCTTTCATCCTATCATTACACAACTTACCTTGTTGGACCTGTAAACAAGCATACAAGACATTCAACACTTAACTAGAAAAATACCAATGTCCATTTAATTTGATTACGCATCGAACGATTTTCCCCCTAACCTGCCTCAATAAAGGGGTACTAACACGGGAGCTAACCGTACCGGTATCAAATAACCACTCGTAAGTGGCGAAATTCCTGCGCATAACAAAAAGGAATATACAGCGTCCTGTACTCCCAGTAGAAGTTATGGTCAAATATAAAGTCGCATAACTCCCCCCATATGTTCATACTCAAGGTATATACGTTCCAAGAGTTTTGGTGCGTAATCTCTTTCACTTTACGTTGCTTTACATGTTATTATAAATGGTGATGACTCTCAAACCATAACACAATCAAACATTATAATTCATTCAGGCAATCAAACATACCAATTTAATTCTTGAATAATTAGTGACCACATAAATTTAATGTTGAATCCTTTTTAAACTACCTCGTGTTAAATAACACCTTAAGCGCATAAAACACCACAAATCCTATCCCTCGGTGTTTAGAACACCTTAAATGCACTTAGGCACCAAAATATAATTTAATCCTCGTGTACATAGATACTTAAATAGCTCCTTCCTCATGCTTATAACATTAATAAAAATTATATGAACCATAATAAAATTCATTTTTAATATTCCAAACCAAATTAAACACTTAGTTTAATTAAACATGCTCTCCATCATGCCAATAATAAAAGTGTGGTTCATATCCAACATGCCAACATAATTAATTCCAATCATCGATTCACCACAAATAATTCATATATCACGAATCATTCACCAACATCAATCCAATCAACAATTCCAATCAACACCTATCATGATACTACTTGGAATTAATATATGAAAGCCTAGCATGCTTCTACATACTCAAATAATTACCAAGTACGCGAACGTACCTTGAATATGATCTCAAAATCACCACGACTAAATAAAATCACTCACTTGGAAAACTCCTACAACCCAAAATTACAAAGAGGCATTATTACCTATTCAATATAAATTTCCAACAATATATACACTCCTTAAATCACTCATAAATACTTTAAAACAAGCTAAAATTGAATTTAAAACCCTTACTTTTATTCCCAATTAATGGGTAATTAAAAATCCTTTCAAGAAACATAATTAGAGGTTATATAAAAATTCCAACTTTATTAAATCATCTAAAATTGTTGTAATTGTGTTTTAAAACACTTATTTCAATAATTTAAATCACCCATAAACAATTTCCATCAATATACATAAACTTAGAAACGTAGGGTTTATAATTTGGGGCTTTTTAATTCAAAACCTAATCTGAAAATATATATACATCATACTTAAAATCAAACATCGTAAAAATCATCATAAAATCAAAATCAATAATTAGATCAAGGGTGGATTTAATTAAAAATCAAAAGAAATTGTTGTTTGTTCGAACACCAGCAACCACGACACCATAGCAAGGTTGTCGCCGCGCGCCCGCTGGTGGTGCCACTACTGTCACCGGCGTTCTTTGGTAGTTGCGGCGGTGGACGGCGGCATGTGGTGGTGGCTGGCGTGTAATGTGAAGAAAATAAGGAGAAGGGGGAAAATAAGAGAAAATAAGAGGAGAGAGAGAGAGTTACCTTTGGGTATTCTCCACCTTGGGCAAGGTTCAATTTGCCCATGTTATGGGTATTTATACCCCCTCTCTAAACCATCCTACTTAAATTCCCCTTTCTACCCTTAATGATCCCTTCTCCTATTCAAACTAGTATTTTAACTTTCCTTATAAACTTGTTGACTTTAAAATTTCCTTTTATAAAATAATATTCCCCAAAGTTTCCAAATCATGAAATAAAATATTTTCAAGATTGTTAAATAATTAAAAATAAACTTTTAATTAAAATAATTCTTTAAATTAATGAAACACCATAAATAATTCATTTCAAATTATTTAAATACCTTAAGAAATACTTATTTAGGTTAAAATACATATAAAAATACGGGATATTACAGTAAGGCCAGCATGGCTAACCGCATATGCTAGGCGAGCTAGCAGCACCAGCCGCACCATCGCAAGGCCAGCAGCACGCAAGTGCTTGTTGGGCATCGCACATGGTCGTAGCGAGTGTGCGAGCTTGCTAGCAATAGCAACACACAGCCATGCTTAGCAGCCCGCATCAGCGAGGCTTGCTATTGCAGGTTGGTGCGAAGGCCTTGCAGGCGAGGTAGGAGCGTGCTGGGCTGCGCCTAACACGAGCATCGCAGCCGCAACACGCAATGCGTGTGTGGGCTGCGGGTTGTGCGTGCTTGCGTGCTAGACTGCGTGCACGAACAACGCCCAAGTAGCAGGCCCAACCAAGGGGACAGGCCGCTAGCGAGGCAGCCTTGGCGCCCAAGGTTGGCAGCACTAGCTGGCTCGTACGCATTGGCCGTGTGTGTGGAAGCCGATTTGTGTGGGTTGCTTGGGGAGCAAGGGGTGGGTGGTCCCCCCTTGTGGTCCTCACCTACCCCCTTGCTCTCCACTTGACACTTGTTTTTTTCTGATTCATTTACATTTTAATTTGATTTTAGAATTAAATTAAATTGAATAAATGCCTTTTTACAAACTCTCCCACATTGATGGGAGATTGGAATTCAAGGGCTCCTTTCCCTATAGATACCAATCATTTGGCATTGGGAAAGGGCACTTGAGTTGTGAACTTGAAAGGATCTCCACAAACGAGAACACTTACATTCTAATACTCTAAGTACTTTTGGTCTAGTCCCGACTAAGCTTTGGGGTAAGGGTCGTTCGGGTCGGGTCTCGAGGGTGAGAGCCATTGGAGGCTTGCGCATTTGCGAAGCTCTACCCTTTCAAGTACAAGCTCTAAGAAAGAGTGAAGCACGCATCAAGGGTATGATCGTCTTTTCTGTCTATCTCTTTGTTAATTAATATGTGATTGTTAATTAATATGCATGTTTAGTTACTTTAATTTGTGTGCGGATTTTGGGAGGGTTTCATTCCGCGTAGTGTTGGACACTAAGATACCCAACACATATGGGATGCTCTAGGAGAAGTACATTCGAAAATGTTGTTCTCGATCGTCTAATCCAGAAAACGGCGTAATGATATTCACTGTTTAAAAGATTCGGATGGCTTCTAGGTTTCGGATCTAGTGGGTATTAGATCGTTGGCTTTATCTTTCTATTAGAATCTTTATCACCTAGTGGGTTCCTTTTTCCGTTCCTTATTCAACCTGGTGGGATTAGCTTCAGCTTCCTACTCTCTCTTTAGCTCAATAGGACCAATTAATGGCCCCGTTTACAGCATTGGAGATTTTCCAGGCGATGTTTGCCATTAATGATAACAAAACTCCGGGTCCAGACGGGTGTACATCAGCTTTCTATAAGTCTCATTGGCGGGAAGTGGGTTCATTAGTCGTTTCAACAGTCCAATATTTCTTTGCTCATGGTTATATGCTAAAAGGCTGGAATTGTACATTCCTGGTGCTGCTTCCTAAGGTGGATAGTCTGGAGTCGATATCTCAGTTTTTCCTTATTGGCTTGTGTAATGTTTTATATAAATGTATTTCCAAGTATATCACGGGGCGTCTTCAGCTTCTGCTCCCATCATTAGTTTCCGGTTTTCATAATGCCTTCATTCTGGGTCGTCTATTGTCCGATAATAGGTTGCTTGCTCATGAGGTTTTGCCTTACATGAATGCATCCATGGCTAGGAAACGCTTTTACTTGGCACTGAAACTGGACATGAATAAAGCTTATGATTGGATTCGCTTGGATTTCATTCTGCGAGCTCTTCAGGCTTTTGGCTTTCCTTTTTATTGGATTCATATCATTCATCAATGTGTTTCGACGGTTTCTTATCAGGTTTTGGTTAATGGAAGTCCTTCTCCGACATTTCAGCCTTAGTGTGGTCTGCGTCAAGGAGATCTTCTTTCGTCATATCTGTTTGTTCTTTGTATGGAGGTTTTCTTTACCATGTTACAACGTGCGAAAGATCTTTCTTTGATTCAGGGTATCCGTATCTCCCAAGGGGCGCCATCTAACACTCATTTATTCTTTGCGGATGACTCTTTGCTCTTTTTCCAGGTTTCCCCGGAGACTTGTTCCAATATTATGGAGGTCATTCAAGGTTTTTGTGACGTTTCAAGCGAAATGATTAACTTACAGAAATCCTTTGTTAAGTTTAGTCCGAACACTCCTTCGGATTATCGAGACTTCCTTGCTCAGAGCTTGCAATTACATTGTAGGCCGAATTTGGGTCTGTATTTGGGTTTGTCGGTGGATATGGGTCGTAGCAAGGTTTCTGAGTTTCGTTCCTTACTGGATGTGGTGTCTCGGCGTCTTTCCCAATTTTCCTCCCTAAATCTGTCCTCCGCAGCTAAGCTGGTTATCATCAATTCCATTTTTGTGGCTTCTTTCAATCATGTGCTTTCGGTCTTCCGGGTCCCTTCTTTGATTTGTCAGCGCATTGACAACTTACTGGCTCGCTTTTGGTGGAAATCGTCGACTTCTTCTCAAGGCATGGCCTTCCGCTCTGCCTCCCTGCTTCATCTTCCCAAAGGATTGGGAGGTATGGGTCAGCGTAGTCTTCAATGCTTCAACTCAGCTCTTTTAGCTTGCTAACGGTGGCATATTGATAATAATCCTCAACTCTTGGTGTCTAGAGTTCTGGTGGACAAGTATCCATCTATGCGAACCTTATGTCTGGAACGCATTTCTCGGCCTTCCTAGGGCTGTCGTAGTATATTGAAAGGACAGGTTACATTGTCAAAGGGATTAGCCAGGAAGGTCGACTCAGGCTCGGCGGTGCGGATTATTCATGATGATTAGGCACCGGGAGGTCGAGTAAATTTTCGAGCTTCTGTTTCTAAGTCAGAAGCCCCGACTCATGTTTCTTCTCTTATTATTCTGCGTTCTAGCGCGTGGGATTTATCTCGGATCCATTGCCTTTTTGATACTGCTACGGCTTATCGTATTCTAGCTGCGGAGAAGCCAGGGCGGCCGATGGATGACTTCGTCTATTGGAAATTTTCTAGGGATGGTTAGTTTATTACTAAATCAGCATATGCACAGCTGTTTCAGGAACCTCTGTCTTCAATAGTGAGCACCCCAGCTTCAGCTTTATGGTGGAAACATTTTGGGGTCTCCCGCTTCTGCCTAGGTTGAAACTTTTCTGTTGGAAGCTTTTTCATGATGCGCTTCCTCTTTCTGCGATTTTATGTTTGAGAGGTCTCTCGTTGGATCCTATTTGTCTTTTTTGTCGTTTTGTGCCAGAGACGGTCACTCATCTCTTTCGAGATTGTCCCACGGTTACTCAGCTCTTGGTGAATGCCCCTTTTGGTTTAGATAACGGTCTTCGTCGCTCTAAGCCCTTCGCTCTCTAGTTTACGGAAGCAGTATCAGACTTTAGGCGTGCTAGAAATTGGGATGGTTTAGTATCTTTTTTCTATTTCTTCTAGGCTGTCTGGCTTACTCGTAACCACGATATTTTCAGATATGCAGTCTGGTCTCCTTCTTCTATTCTTAACCTAGGCGCGGACAGGGTTCTTCGTAACTCCTAAGCCGGGATCTTCCGAGAGAAGGTTTCTTCTTCGCATTGGCATTGTTCTAGCGCATTTTCTCCCCCTACTTATTGTTGTCGGGGTTCTCCTGTGGACATCGTGGACTGCTGTTTGATTTTTTATGGGGCATGGAGTTCTGGTGACAATAATGTTGGTGCTGGCTGGATCTTTAGGGCAGTATCTTCGAATCGATTCTTGGGTGGTTCGACGCGGGCTAGCAGATCGGCCTCGACTTTTCAAGCTGAGTCGCAGACGTGTTTGTGGGCTCTTCGGTCTATTATTAGCAAGGGTTTTCACCACCACCTCCTTTATACGGATTACTCGTTTCTGGTTTCCCAGCTTTCTTGGGGCTCTCCAAAAGATATCAATTGTGTGCGGCTTTTTCAGGAGATTCAGGACTGTGTCTCTCAGGTTTCCGTTTGTTGCATTCAGAAAGTTCCTTGGAGCTGGGTTGCCCCTGCGCATTGACTGGCCGTGAGGGCTCGACGTAGAGAACTTCTTTTTTGGAATTTTTAATTCTAGTTGTGTTTGTTTGTTAGTGATCTTTGTAAAAAAAAAAATAAAAAAAAATAAAAAAAAAAAAACTACTGATTAATCATCGATGATTTTTTTTTATTACAAAAGAGCTATCTAATAAAAGGAAACCAAGCAAATACAACAACTGCCAACAAAAAGCTAAAACAAAAATCCAACAACTGACGACGCCTAGCACAACCAGCCAACCAGTGAGCAGGAGTAACCCACAAACGAGGAACTTTTTTAACCTGGCAAACCAAAAGGGATTGAACCGAAGCCCGCAACTCCTAAATGAGCCACCAAGAAGAAATTTCCATTGAACCAAAAGGAGGAAGAAGAGCAAGTAGGGCAGCACAATCTGTATAAACCTAGATTTTCAAGAAGCCTCTACGAATAGCAAACTCCAAACCCCAGACACAGGCCTGAAGCTCAGACTGCAATTCTAAACTTTCCATAAAAGCCCGACATCCACCTCCTAATACCTCAGAAAACTGAAGATCACGGACTATCCAGCCTGCATCAACCCTATAAGTAGAACAATCCCAGGCCCCATCTATAATCAAACAAGACGTAAGAGAAATATAAGGTAACCCCCGTAGACAAGAAGACTTCGAAGACCTCTTCCAATCAAAGCCTGCATACCACGAAGAAACCACTCTGACGCCTAACCAACAATAGTCCCAGGCGACCAAATAGCTTTCCTAAACCTTAGATGATTACAAGAGATCCAAACCGCCGAGAAAAGAGCAAAAAAGAAGCAATACCCTTCCAGTCTCTCAACGATGAAAAATGAGAAATTGTACTCGAGAACCAAACATTAAACGAAGGAAATTGCATAAGATCCCACTGAATGCCCAACGCTCTAGACAGCCAAAGACTGCAGATAGCAGGACAATCTCTGAATGTATGAGACACAGATTCCAAACTCAATGACAAAAAACACAAACTAGATCAATCGGGAGGCCTCGAGAATGGAGAATAGCCGCTAAAGGAAGAGCATCATGCAGCAGTTTCCAACCAAAGATTTTCCACCGAGGAAGAATTGGTAAAGCCCAAAACTTCCTCCACCATACTGGAGAAATTTGAGATTGACAACTAGACATGACCCTAGGCTTACAAAGAAGTGCATAAGAAGATTTTGTTGAAAAAACACCATCCCTAGTGAACTTCAAGTAAACAAAATCATCCATCAATCGTACTGACCGATCCAACGAAAGAATTCTAGCAGCAGAGCTAGAATCAACCAGCCCATGAATAATAGTAGCATCCCACACGCAAGAACGTAGATCAAGTAAAGAAGACACAAGAGTCGGTCGAACCGATTCAACCGAAAGATCCTTAAAATGAACCGGTCCCCCTAGAACCCAAGAATCCTCCAAAATACGAACACGAGAACCTGAACTAGCCTTCTTAAACAAACCCTTTGACAACACGGATAATCCCGAAATAAGACCCCTACAACCCCAAGAGGGACGAGAAGCCGAGATCGAGTCAATGGAACAAAGAGTCGGATACTTCGCAAACGGAAAACGTGAAACCAACAGCTGAGGGCACTAAATAAGCCGCCTAAACCCTACAAATTCTCAATCCTCCTAAACCCTTCGGAAGATGGAGCAACGACAAAGAATGAAGAGCTAATCCTCGATGAGAAGAAGAAGACTTCCATCAAAACCTGGCTAATAGATTATCCATTCTAGAACATATAGAATCAGGAATTTTAAAAACAGATAAAATGTGATTAAAGGAGGCAATGAGCACTGAGTTGATAATAACAAGCTTAGCCGCCGGCGAAAGCTGCAGAGCTGCAAAGGCCTGTAAACGTTTGGCCACCTTATCCAAGAGGAACCCAAACTCAGAGCATTTACTACAACCCAAATCAACAGGAAGCCCCAAATAAGAAACTAATCTAGATTCAGACCGCATTTTCATACAACTAGATAGATAAGCTTGATAATCCTATGGAGTATTAGGACTAAACTTGACAAACGACTTCTGCAAATTAAGCATTTGACCTGAAATATCACAAAATGCAGAAAGCACATTCAACACCTGTTCACACGTAGGAGGAGAGACCTGGAAAAAAAAAGCAAGGAGTCATCGGCAAAGAACAGGTGTGAAATGGCATGAGCCCCCCTAGCAATTTTAATACCCTGAAAAAGGCCTTTAGATTCTACCTTACGAAGCATTGCAAAAAGAACCTCCATTCACAAAACAAACAGGTAGGGAGATAGAGGATCTCCCTAACGCAGACCACGTTGTGGACGAAAACCCTATGTAGGTGAACCATTAACTAGCACCTGATAAGAGACCCTAGAAACACACAGCATAATCAGATGAATCCATTGGGGAGGAAACCCAAAAACCTGAAGAACCCGACCTAGAAAGTCCCACTCGACTTTGTCATAAGCTTTGTTCATGTCTAGCTTCAAGGCCGCATAAAAACGTTTCCTAGCTTTTGAAGCATTCATAAAGGAAAGGATCTCATGCACCATCAGACAATTATCAGACATCAACCTACCAGGGACAAAGGCATTTTGAAAATTCAAAACTATGTCTGGCAGAATCCAACGCAGACGACGAGCAAGACACTTAGCTATGCATTTATAAATGACATTAAAGAGTCCTATCGGTCAAAATTGAGAAACAAGTTCAAGGTGATCTACTTTAGGGAGTAAAACTAAGAACGTCCGTTTCCAGTCCTTAAGTAAATAGGCATGAGCAAAAAAGAACTGAACAGCATTCGCCATATGATCACCCAGCTCAGTCCAATAGGTCCTTAAAAAGGCCGAAGTAAAACCATCAGGACCTGGAGGCTTACCATCAGCAATA